GCGCCGGCCCCGTGGCCCTGGCCGGGGGGGGGGGGCGAGGCTCTTGGTAGCGGAGCCGCACCCCTGCTGGGGCTTCTTCCTCAGAAGCCGCATCTGGGAAGCAGAGCAATGCTTCCCGCCTTAGTCCGTTTGTGCTTCCAGCGCATGCAAGGTGCCATTGCCCCTCGGGGCGTTTCTTCCCTAGACGTAATCCCCCCCTTTCCCGATGAGCACTGTGAGTTGTTTCCAGTATATCAGTGCTAGGAATTGGTGGTTCTCAGCCTTTCCAGGTGACTCTTCCTCAGAAGCCGCATCTGGGAAGCAGAGCAATGCTTCCCGCCTTAGTCCGTTTGTGCTTCCAGCGCATGCAAGGTGCCATTGCCCCTCGGGGCGTTTCTTCCCTAGACGTAATCCCCCCCTTTCCCGATGAGCACTGTGAGTTGTTTCCAGTATATCAGTGCTAGGAATTGGTGGTTCTCAGCCTTTCCAGGTGACTGGACGCTTTGAGGAATCCAAGGCTTGACCCCACTGCCTGGGCCCCAATTCCTGCCACCTGGGGCTAAAGCTTCACAGGCTCCCTGTTGTGTAAGGCCATAGGCAGTTGTCCTGGTTGCCACTTCTTAATGCCGGCCCTGCACAGACACTGCCCTTAACTCCACCCTTGACCCCATTGAGAGTCACAGCCTCTATAATGAAAAACAGTGGGGCAGATAAGTTGACATAGGGGTGGTTGAGAACCACTCATTTAGATAGCAAATAGTAAAAATTGTTGCCTGTGGCAGAGTCGTCCTTACGGTACAGGGAATTGGGTGACTGCTCTGGGGCTGGAGCAGCCACTGGCAGCCTTCATGCCAGAACCTCCCCCTGCTATCACCTAGTTTAGTGATGGGCAATCTAGCCTATGACTGGCATGGTCAATGTTGTGTGCAGTCAGCATGCACCTCAGTTCACATGCATGTCATTTTAGGGAAAAAACCCTACGTAGATGGAAAATAGTGGAATTTGCCAGCACTGCATGTGGGCAGTGATACATAAAATATCTCTCAGGCTGCACATGATGGGTCACGTGGGCTTCAGGTTGCCTACTACTATCCTGCTGCCTGTTGTGGATCAGCTGTTTTGCGGCCTCAGGAGGCCTTGGGAGGAGGGAAGAGGAGTGAGGGCAAAGTGTGCTTGGTAGGGGGTGGAACTGGGCATGGAAGGGGTAGGGCAGGTGTAGGGTGGAGCTTTGGTGGGAAGGAGTGGAGTGGTGGCGGGGCTTCGGCAGATTTTGGGGGGGGGGAGAAGAAGAAACTCTGCACCTATGTCCTGGGTCCTGCACCCTCCTAGGGGTCGCCCTGGTCCATGGGCTTAATCCTGTGAGATACTGGACACCTTGTGTTAGCTGAGTGCACATACCCCTCAATTTCAGTGGGAGTTGAAAGAATTCAGTGCCTTTCAGAAGGTGCTTGGACCTGTGCAGGATCTGGTTGCTTTTTAAGATTTATCTTGGCCTGTATGTGAAAACAACTAATACAACTTATTCTGTGTGTTTTCTTGACAGATATTGTTTCGAGTGATTACTTTTGGCTTAAATGCATTTACTCTCCGCTATGTATCGAAAGAAATTATTGGCCTTGTGAATGTAAGGTAATGAAGAATAGAATTCATGGTAGATGATTCCAATATAGAAGTTTGTCACATTGTTCCTTTTCTAAATATAAATAAGTACCTGGGCGTCAAAAGTAAATATTACTAGTAACACTTCAGACTTTTAAAATCTAATTTATAATACTTTTTGATATTAATGCTGTTTGCTCCTTGGATTTCTCTATCCATTTTACTTTCTGCTTCATGGACTAGCAGACTAAGTGAAATATTTAGAGCTATTTTCAGTGATATTAGAAAGAGTTCTGTGTGAATTTTGATCTATACAATGATATGCCTGTAATCTTGTGATAAGAGTAGCCAGAATGTTCAGTTTTGAAGTTATAAATGAATAACTATCTAATAGATTCTTAATATTCAATATTTATAGGTACAAAATCTTAAACCAGTTAGGTGAAATATTCCCTTTCCTCCCAACTTGCTTAAAACTTATCTGGTTAAGATTGGATTATCCATTTGAAAAACACTGCTGTACCCTTATTCTTTTCCTGCCCTTCAGGAGAACTGTAGGTTAACTATATATCACATCTAGGCAAACTGTATGTTAACAATATATCACAGCTAGGCAAATTGTATTTTCTTTTCCTCATCTATATTAAAATGTATGCTATCACCACATTTTCCCTCACTGTTGGTCAACCCTCTGTTAGAAATAAGTTTTGCTCCACATATGTTTATGGATAATTACATAACATAGCTTTATCTGCTTTTGTGCTGGGGTGAGGTAGAATGTTTACATTGCTTTGTGTACCTGAAAGAATGAAACTGAAGAAGTTTTTCTACCAAGCAGTTTATGTTTTTACTCAGTGTTTTATCATTCTTAGTACTGTCTCAGACCTGTTTAAGGCTGGGTCTACACTACAGACCTATACTGGCATAACTACATCGGTCCAGGGGGTAAAAAATCCATATCGCTGAGTGACCTAGAGATACTGACCTAACGCCCATGTACACAGTGCTATGTTGATGGGACAGAGCTTCTCCCGTAAACATCTTGGGGAAGTGGATTAACTACACTGTCAGGAGAAGCAGCATCTTCGCTAAAGTGCTATAGGAATCACTTTCTCTTTTTATTCCCTTTCTTTAGGCTAACACTGCTTTATTCAACAGTTGTTTTCTTAGCCAGAGAGGCATTTCGTAGAGCTTGTTTGAGTGGCAGCACAAAGCAAAATTGGACCAAAACTATTAATCTTTTGTGGCTGGCGTAAGTTTCCTTTCAAGATTCTTATTAATTCCAATCTGTGTGTAAAAGCATTCACTTCAGATATCCGAGTACTTATAAAGATGAAAATATGTCTTTACCTAGCTAGATTACTGTTCCATTATGTAGCACGTTATGATCTCCTCAGCTGCAGCCCCAGGACAAAGAATCAAGGAATTAGATTAAATGGGGTTAATGATTCTTACCTCCTCTTTAAAAGGATTTTGAAAGCTACTGATGAAAAGTGCTGTATGAGTTAAGTTGTAATGTTTATACTGTGCTATGAGTACCCATGGACTTGGCTTCTTTTGGAGCTATACTGGGGATGTAAATTCCATAGTCAAGATACACACAAGGGAAAATTTGATTATTTAGGAATATGTTGTTAGAACTAAAAGTATTAGACCTAAACTCTGTAGAGGTTCTTATTGCTCATCACTGTTCTACCTAAACACCTTCTCATAGTGCCTTAAGCTCTGTGCCTAACATCTGTCACGTGTGTTTGCTTAACCTCTTCCCATGTGGAGAAGTAAAACCAAAAAAAATGAAGGTTTTAATTTATGTGGAAGATTCAAGCAAAAGTAGGAGCCTAGCCTACATGCCTAGCAGCCAAAATGGAGTGTGTGTTGTTTCTTATTACTTAGATTCTTCAGGCTTGTCTATACAGACTATTAGTTTATGGCAAGATGAGGTGTGAATCTAGCCAGCACAAACCTACTGTGCACTAAGTGTCCATGTGGACCTTGCTGACACTCCGTGACACTTCCTTAGCGTTCCTTACTTTATTTGCCCTGCTTTGAAATGGAAGTAGATTAAAGCACACTAAAGAATTGCTAGTGTGTGTTAGTAATGTCCACATGAGCATGTAGTGTGCCCTCCAGCTTGTTGTGAACCAAGTGCTGTTGTAGAAAAGCTTTTTTTTAATTAATTAATTTTATTATTGTTTAACTTATATTGTGTTAGTAGCTGAAGCCAGCCAATCAGGGCCCTGTTGTATTAAATGATGTAAAAATATTGTTACTGTCCATATTGCTTAAATTTAATTACAGATTGTTTTTTCAGATATGGTAAAACACATAGCTAAAAAGACCTCTAGTTGTATAAAATAAATAGTGCAGTCATCCATAATTGAAATTATGATGGTAATTATAATTTGGTTTACATTGTTAATACTAAATCTCTAAGGCTACGTCTACACTACATGGTTATTTCAGAATAAGCTATTCCGGAATAGTTATTCCGAAATAGCGTATTTTGAAATGGCATGTCTACGCTGCAGGGAAGCCTCAAAATTAGTCCGAGGCAGGCTTTCCTAATGTAAACGTGCTATCTCGATTTACAGCCCCAGAAGGAATAACTTAAAATTGCACTGGTGAGGGGCTATTTCGAAATAGCAGAAGTGGAATGTTTACACATGCCTTATTTTGAAATAGCTATTTTGGAATAGGTGGTGTTCTTCGTAGTTTGAAGTTCCCAGAAGTTGGATTAAGCCGTCCATTATTTCAAAATTATTTTGAAATGATGGAATTGCTGTGTAGATGCTCGCATATTTATTTTGGAATAATGGCCGTTATTCCAAAATAACTTTGCTGTGTAGATACACCCTAAGAGAAAGCAGTTTTTCCTACTTGCCTGTGTGTTTCAGGGGCTTTTAATACGGCTTTGTTTCCAGTCCATGTTATCACAGGGCAAGATAAATTGTACCGTAATTCCTATTTCTATACTTTTATTTTACTAGCAGGATAATGCAATATTCATTAGTATATTGTAACTTATTAAAAGATTTAGTGTCTTTTTCTCTAGTCTTACTGAAGACTTGCTTTTTCAGAAAGAAGGCTCAGTCTTGCATGGTTGTACGTAGGGATGTGAAAGGTTAACTGGTTAACCGGTAAGCATCATCCTAGTTAACTGGTAACTGGTGGGGGCTGGAGCAGCTTCCCGCCTGCTGCAGGCAGGGGTTTGCTCCAGCTCGGCCTGCTGCAGACAGAGGCTGCTTTCCTCTGGAACAGCTTCTGTCTGCGGTGGGCTAGGGCACCCTGCAGGCAGGAGCTGCTCCCTGTCTATACTGGCAAGTTACCATGCTGACACTTTCTTGCTCAGAAGGGTGAAAAATCACCCTCTGAGCACAGCAAGTTTCTGGCACAGTAACTTGCCAGTGTAGACAGCCTCCCAGTGGTGGGAGCTACACCCCTTGTGGAGGTGATTTTTTCCTAAAGTGCTTGGAGAGCTTTCTCCTAGTGCTGGCACTGTAACCACACTGTCACATTAAACTAAGTGTGGAAGCACTTCAATGCTGCAAGTGTAGACAGAGTCTAAGTTGGGTAAGCCTGTAAAAAGAGATGAACAGAATTTTAAAAAGAGCTATTTAAAATAACAGCAACAAGGGGCAGGTTTGAGTTTTTGAGGGGTTTTTTTGAGGGGGGGAGGTTGGAGCAGTTAAAAAGTGGGTTGAATGGTTGTTTTGAACATTTTCTTTTAGAATGTTTAACATGTTTATGTAAATATAATCATAAAAAAATGGAATATATATACTTGCATCCTGTAGTATCTATTTGAATATTTTAGTTTTAAATAGCAAAATAAAAACTTCATGTTTTCCTTCTCTTTTACTTGCAATATGTGATCACTTAATTTTTTTCCTGTTTAGAGAAGCACCTCTGTAACACAGAAAAACAACTTATTTGACTTTATTTATTTATTTAAAGAGTTCCTTTGGGGGTGTGTTGGTCACTATTCCTGGGCTGGATCTGGCTACGGTTACTTGAAGTTCCTGATCCTAATGTGGTTCCCTACTATCAGATTGGAGTAGTTGCATTTGGTATTTCTGCAGTGGTTGAACTTCTAGGAGAACCATTCTGGGTTTTGGCACAAGCACATTTGTTTGTAAGGCTTAAGGTTAGTAAAGTGAGCACTATACTTACGTGTACTGAGCAATGATAGATAAAGTGTTGATTGAGGTAGCCAAAGATGACTGGAGGACTTAACCATATACCTCTGAATGAAGTTAGACTAGTGTGATAAAAACCTTTGGCTTTGAATGTCTAATACTTAATATTTAGCATATGTATTTAAATGTACATACACAGAAAAAGTCACTATGTTGTTTTTGTACACTTTAGGTCTTCTGACTCATGCAGTTGGTAGTGAATCTGGTTTTTTTTCTCTCTTTTTTTAAGGTAATTGCTGAAAGTCTTTCGGTAATCTCAAAATGCGTGTTCACAATTATTTTAGTAGTTCTATATCCACAATGGGGGCTTTACATTTTTTCTTTGGCCCAGGTAAGTTTTTTCTTTGTTCTCGTCTGTATATTTGTAATTCACTGCTGCTGCCTCTTGGACTTAGCCATTAACTAATTCTGAAAGTAAGAGGAAGATGCTTTTGCAATATTGTACAGAATACTGTTCTTGTATATAGATGTCTGCTACAGACTTAGCATTGTGACTGATCAATTTAGTGCTAGCGAAAACACATGACATGTTTAATGTATGCATGTACATTATCCAAATTAGGGCCACAAGTCGCTGCCCTTCCTTCCCTTCCCCCTGCCTCCCAGCCCCACCACCAGACCTCCTTGTCCTGGGCTCTGTGTCCCAGTTTTGTGAAGTACAACATATATACATTTAAAAGATAACTATAATTTGGCTGCAAATTTCAACTGTTTGAATAGTTTATAAGCCTCTTTCCCCTATGTAAGTACTTGTGGCACAGAACAACACAATAAAAGAAAATATTCTGTACATTAAATTAAAGTCTATAAATAAATTAAAGCTTTATAATTGGATATCTGCCAGGTAGGACAAATGACTTGGACAACACAAGAGGAAAACACTGCAGTGAAAGACTTGTGGGGTCTCAGAGCCTTGGCTCCAGACATCTACACTGCACTTTTTAGCCTTGCAGCCTGAGACCTGCGAGCATGAATCATTTGACCAGTTACAGCCATGCTGTAAATCTTTCATTGCAGTGGTGAGGAATCTCTTCTGGGTCGGGGGCCTCTGACACACAGAGTAATCAGTTGGGGGCCACACGCAAGTGAAAAGCAAAGAAAACAAAACAAAAACCCTGCATGGACGTGGCCCCCAGATGATAAGCAGCAAAGAAAAGACACTCCCCTCACTAATGCAGTTCAAGGTGCCAGGGTTCCTCTCTCACTCTAGCACTGTGACAAGGCTCAGGGCTTCACCCCAGGGCTGGATTAACTCTTCTGAAGGGCCTGGGCTAGTAGATTTTTGTAGGCTCCTCCTGGGCTCTGGGGAGAGGTTAAAAAGAAGGGATTCAGTTTTTGGGAGGAAGCTGCTGGGGATGAGGATGCAGGGTCTGGCAGGTGATAGGGTGCAGGAGAGGGGTGGGGAACAGAGTGTGGGCACGAGTGGAAGCAAGAGTGGGATGGGTCGTGGGGTCTGGACAGGATGGGGTGTGGAAGAGGTCCGGATGGGAGGAGGGTGCGGGGGGGGCGGAGGGGGACAGGTGATTGGAGCTCCCACCTGGCATAGCTACCGAGGAGGGAGGGACTGCGGGTGCCTCCATGCTATCTTACACTGGCAGGCACCACCCCCTGCCACTCCCACTGGCTGTGATTCTCCGCCAATGGTAGCAACAGGGGTGGAGCCTGTAAGTCAGCACAGGGGGACAAAAGTTCCCTGCACTGCCATTCCCAGCTCAGAGCTGCTTCCTTCCCTCTCCCACCAGGTAGAGCCTGTGCGCTGTAGGTTCCCTATCCCTGTTTTATTGTAATGTAAGCACAACCAATCGTAAGGTAGAGTGACACAGATTGGGGCTAGTAATGCTAAAAAGTGCTAATTTTAAAAAAAAGTTATGAGATTTTTGTGCGTTAAGATTATTATTGATAGTAGTCATTTGGTTTAGAATATTTGTTCGCTGTTCCTTCACCCAGACATTTGACATGTTAGAATAATTGTGCTGTATTTTATTCAATTATTGTTTAGCTAGAAATACTAGTTCATAGTTCTAAATATGTAGTTTATATTGATGATGTTGATAGTTTATATCTTTTCTTTCAGCTTTTGTACACCAGTATTCTGGTGCTGTGCTATGTAATATATTTCATGAAGTTTTTGGGCTCTCCTGAAGCAACAAAGGAATCATTTCCAGTTTCTAAAATGACAGACCTGTTACCCAGCTTGACTGAAGGCCAGGTATATGACAGAGCTTAATGTTTGTAATATTGCAGTCTTTCATGCATGGGGGAATTTCAGTTGGTTTTGCTGAATGAGAATCTACTTGAGCAACACCCAGCTTAAGTGTAATTTTGCAGGATGTAGCCTCCCTGCAGAGGAAACAGTTGAGCAAGAATCCCAATTTTTCCAACAGTAGGGAGGCAGAAGTGGGCATCTGTACACGCTAGTTTTCTGCTTGTTTCAGCTTGTAACATTCAGCAGTGGCATGTTGGAGCAGCAATTTCAAGTGGCGATGGTGTTGCCTCTCATAAAACTGCTTGCTGAGTCTCCTCCCAAACTGATGTAATTAATTCTGGCTGCTGCAGGTTTTTTCCACCCTCTCATCCTGTCTCCTCCTTGATGTTCACCTGCCTGCCATGCTGGTTTACCTGCTGCAGGCTCAATGCTCATTTTTATGTGAGGCAGCACTGCTGCTCTTTCGCGTATATGAGCAGGGAGGTGTAAGTGTGCAGAGACTGCTGAGTCCCCTCTCCCTGAGCTCCTGTCCAAAATAAGGATGTTAAATTGCAGTTAATTGACTAGTTGAGTAGTAGATGGAATTTCCATTGACTACTCGACTAGTCAATAGGCCCTTCCGCATTCCTCCTTTGAAATATATAGGCTCTTGTACATTTCGGAGGAGGAATGTGGACCTCCGCGTGCAGCTCAGGGCCAGCAGGAAGTCCCGCTGACTCTGGGCTGCATGTGGGTTCTTGCTTTGAAATGTACAAGAGTCCCCAGTGGGGGCTCTTGTGAATTTGAAAGCCACAGTGCCCTCATGGAGCCTCAGAGTCCCCCACTGACCCCGGGCTCCATGCTGCGCTGCATGCCTTATGGAGCCCAGGGTCAGCTGGGGACTCCCCAGCTGATCTTGTGTTCCACTGAAATGCTGTGTGGAGCCCAGGACCAGCTGGGGAGTCCCCAGCTGACCCTGGACTCCATCCATGGTGCTTTGAAATGCCGAGGGGCAGCCGCCGCACAGCTGATCCCCGGCTCTGCGTGCTTTTCAATAGCAGAGCCGGGGGTCAGTCCCCAGCTGATCCTTGGCTCCGCTTGCACGGCCCCTTTGAAGTGCCGTTTTGGTCGTTTTCAATCCACTTGTGGCCTTAGTAAATAGTTGGGCTGTCAATTGACCTGTGTTAACGCCTGCAATTAACACAGGACAGGATTAACGCATTAAAAAAATGAACGTGATACTCACAGGCCTTAATACTGTGCTGCCACTCCGGCACTTCAAAGGGGCAGTGCAACATTAAGTCCTGCAATTAACACGTTAATTTTTATAACGCATTCATCCTGTCCTGTGTTAATTGCGTTAATGCAGGTCAATTGACAGCCCAACTATTTACTAAGGCCACAAGTGGATTGAAAACTACTAAGCTAAAGGCACCTGTTTAGATACACAGTAAAGTAATGATGGTTGTTTATTACAGATCTGCACTGCTGATGCTATTGGCATTGCTACTTGCTGTTCCTCTGCAAATAAGAGAATTTTCCTATTATTAATACTGGCAGTTTTTATGTACTGTAGTAGGTAACCAGAAACACTACTGAGTCAGACACAACTTCACTAGTAGCAACAATACATGCATTATCAATACTGCTGACAGCGTCTGAGTTGATGCATTCTAGAATGTTGTAAAATAGAAAAATCTGATTAGTGAGATACTTACATTTTACAATTAGACTGATCAAAGTATAAGGTAGGGAAAAACTTGCATTACTACTGGGGGGGAACGGACTAGAGAACTTAAGAAGTCTTTACCATATGTCTTTTTAATTTGAATTTATGAAGAATCATAAGTAAACGTTTCTGTATGTTTGAAATTCATTTTTAATAACTAGAAACTATTTTACTTTGAAACAAGGCCATCTCTTTAAGGATGTTATAACTTCAGTTACAAATTTCTGCAACAGAATTTTTGTACAAAGCCTTTTTTGGTTCAAGCCCTGCAGCAGAAATTTGTAACAGAATTTTTGTACAAAGCCTTTTTTGGTTCAAGCCCTGCAAATGTATTCAAGAAGTCAATGGAATGTGAAATAACACCCATTAACTTTTAGCCTAAAATGGTACTGCCAGTACATCTAAGCCATAGTGTAAGCTATAGACGCTAACTACATTTTTTTTATGTCAGTCACAATTATTACAAACCATTTCATGCTACCTCACTTGATGAGCTATAAGGGACAGCTAAATCTGTTATTACTAAGAAAGTGCTCATAAACAATATAGAACACTGTAGCTGTGTTGTTCCCTGGATATTTGAGAGACAAGGTGGATGAGATCATATCTTTTATGGGACCAATTTCTGTTCAGCTTTGGACTGAAAAGAGCTCTGTGTAAGCTCAAAAGTTTGACTCTTTCACCAACAGAAGAGAAGTTGGTCCAATAAAAGATATTGTCTCATTCACTATATTTCTAATCTACACATCCAGCCTGACTTAATTAGCTTAATTAACACTTATCCTTCAGTTCACAGGTAGATTCTTTTGCTGTTGTATATACCCTGGATTCTGTAATATCTCTTTCAACTCATATGAAGTGGGTTTTACCTATGAAAGCTCATGACCTAATATATTTGTTAGTCTCTAAGGGTACGTCTACACTGCATCCCCAGTTCGGGCTAGGGATGCAAATGGAGACGACCGGAGTAGTTAATGAAGTGGGGATTTAAATATCCCGCGCTTCATTAACATGATCTCGCCGGCGCACTAGTTCGAATCACAGCTGATTTGAACCAGGAAGTGCACGCCGGGACTCCTCATTTTTTGGTTTAAGCCCTGCAAATGTATTCAGGGCTTAATACATTTTTTGAGGAGTAACGTTCGGACTAAGGGCTTTAGTCCAAACTAACGCGTCCCGGCACACACTTCCTGGTTCAAATCAGCTGTGATTCGAACTAGTGCGCCGGCGAGATCATGTTAATGAAGCGCGGGATATTTAAATCCCCACTTCATTAACTACTTTGGTTGTCTCCATTTGCATCCCTAGTCCAAACTAGGGATGCAGTGTAGACGTACCCTAAGGTACCACAGGACAACTAATTGTTATTAACAGAAATGGTGTTTCTCATCTCAAAATTAAATACCACAATTTTAAGAAATACATTTACAGTTAAGCAAAAGGGGGCCAAATCAGAGTTTGTCTGCTTTGTAAACACAAGAGCTCAGAGTGGGAATCTTTGTTCCAACTTGTCCTTTGGCTATGATTAAGTTAACCAGGGTTGATTTGCCACAAATCTCAATATATTAAATGGTTCATTGTTCACTATTACTGCACTAGGCAACCCCTTCTTAACTAGAGGAGCATTAAATATTAATATTTTGCTTCCTTGGACTTGGAGCAGTTGCATTTGTTCCAATTGGATGTAGAACTTGTTTCTAAATATGGGAAGCATAGTCATCAGCTCACTTTCTCCATGCCTACTACTGCCCCTACAGCTGCACTGCGCCCTCCCTCTTTTCAGCCTTTTCCAGTCATATCCAAGGCAGACTTCATTGAGAACAACTTCCTCAATCTGCTCAGGACTGGCATACAATTCAAAAGCAACAGAAAACAGAAAGAAAGCTGATTCTTCTTAATGTTTCAGCAGGCCTCATGGTAGAGGGTTAGCAGAGTAATAGTGATGGTGTAGAGAAAAATCTCTTTTGTGGACAGTATACTATAGACTATTACAGGGATGGGCAAAAGCCTCTTAGTGGGCCAAATCCGGCCTGCCTAGGGCTTTGACTTGGCCTGTGAGGCAGTTCCAGGCCACGCCCCCTAATGTGTTGTCTCAGAGCGGGAAAGGGGCGCGAGCCCTTCTAACTACTGCTATTTAAAGGGTTCACGCCTTCTGCGCCTTGCCTAGCAGCCACAGGGAAGGTGCAAGCCCTTTAAATAGAAACAATTGAAAGGGCTCACTTCTCTTTCTCCCTAACAATACACTAGAGGCGCTGGGAGCTGCATGCCCTTTCAGCTGTTTCTATTTAAAGGGCTCTTGTGTTCCCTGCATCTGCTAGATAATGCATTGCTCAACAGGTGCAGGGAAGGTGCCAGCTCTTTAAATAGAAACACTTAAATAGAAATACTTAAAACACTCTAGCGCATTGCTAGGGAGCCAGAGACACGAGCCCTTTCAACTACTTCTATTTAAAGGGCTCGCCTGCTGGTCCTCCCATCTGCTCCAGGTTCCCTTCCATTGGTCAGGGGGCAGAGACCCCAGGCCAAGCAAAGCTCCTGGTAGGGTAGCTCTCAACACTGCCCCTTCCACCCGAGGACCCGCCCCTTCCACCCGAGGACCCACCCCTTCTAGCTTGGCCTGTGGCCACTTGCAAAATTTGTGAAGTGCTCTGCATTAAAAAATTATTGCCCATCCCTGGACTATTATGTTGCATCTGTTCTTAGTGTGTATCAAGGGAATCAGCTGCAATATATTGCTCGGTCCCTTCTTGTGCTGTGCGATGCTTCCTGGAATCTTTCAACTATTCTTGTTCATTTTGTTTCTGTGCGGTGCAATGCCATGAACACAGATGTTGATCTGTCAGCTTGTAGTAATTAGGTCTACCCTTGTGTTCAGGAATATTTTAGATTAGTCATTAGTGGCAATAACTGAGAGTTTTCCAGGTTAGTACAGGGGGTTAGAGTAGATGGAGGTGGCCTTGATTATCAGAACAATGTATTCATGTGTCACCTTGCAATTCAGATTCTCAAAATGCATTGTCAATGGTTAAATCACAATACTTATGTCTTTCTTGCAGAATGTGATTGACTGGAAAGAAGCTAAGTTGACTTGGAGTTTCTTTAAACAATCATTCTTGAAACAGATGTTGACCGAGGGTGAGTGTGATGTGCACTCTTTGTACCTGTCCAGGATTATAAGCAAAGAATATGGTTGGTCCTGCCAAGACATGTGGGCAGGTCACCCGATGCTGGAACCCATTTTAGATGTGGTACTTCTCCATGGGGCAGGGGAAAGACTGCCATGGGCAAAATCTATTTATAGGCAGGGAGCCAAACTATAGGGGGAGTTGGTAGAGGTCAGACACCAAGACACTTCCTGCTTACCACCAAGATGGCTACTAGAGACATTTAAAACTGAACAGTGGGAAGGATCGAGCCCAAGCTAGTAGGATGCTTAGTTTGTAAGAAAAGATCATTAAAACTACTGTTATGGTAAGAAATTGCATGTAACAAGTTTCTTAGAGCATTAAGCTTAGTTGGTGTATTTTTGCTTAGTGACTGACTTTGATCTGCCTGTTATCATTTGCAACCACTTAAATGCTACTTTTTATTTTTAATAATCACTTGTGCTTGTTATTAAACCCAGTGTAAATAATTGTTACCTGATGGGGACAATAGCTGTGCATCTCTCTCTTTTGTTAATAAAGGGAGTGAACAATTTATGAGCTTGCTCTGTATAAAACTTTTATACAGAGTAAGGTGGATTTATCTGGGGTTCTGGTCCCATTGGGGCTGTGCACCCGGGTGCCATGTCAAGTCCCTGTGACTGAGCTTTCCCAGAGCGGAGCTGCTTTCCATGCCTGTGTTGCTGTGCCTTGGGGTATGACCCCAACTCTGCAGTGCCCCAGAAGGTAGGTGGGTGGACTCAGTGGTATGATCAGCCCATCAGGTGAAAATCTCAAGGCGATCTCGGTGTCCAAACCTGTCACAAAGGTGGTGTTTAAAAATGAATAACTTGCTGATCAGGCCGTGTCTACACTACAGATAGGATTGAAGCAGCTGCAGTTGATCTTCCGGGGTTCAAATTAGCAGCTCTAGTGAAGACAGGCTAATTCAAACTGAGAGGGCACTCCCGTTGATGCTGATAGTCCTGATTCTATGGGAAGTAAGGGCAGGTGAAGGGAGAGTCTTCCCCTTTGACTTCCCGCAGTGTGCACAGAGCCAAAATTCGAGTTAAGATACTTCGACTTCAGCTACGCAATTAACATAGCTGAAGTTGCATATCTTAATTGAAACTTATCCCCTAGTGTAGACCAGGATTCAGAGCACAAGACCATTTTGGCTCCATCAACACTGTAGATCAATAGGGCTTGAAGCCTGGGTCCTAGCTTAACTCAGGATCAGACCCTTCACCCGTAGGTCAAGCATTAGTATAAACATTAACATCTACCATAGTATATGAGTGTCCAGCATCTGCTGCATTGACAAGAGGAAGCAAATCTTAAAAGACTAATGGATGACTGGAAATTAAGGTTGATCTAATGCTTGAGAAATCTGTGTCATGTTTGATCCATTTTGGAAGTTTTATATTAGTTACACTGCTGATGATTTCTGGGATGCAGTAGACATGATAGATTTAATTCAAGAGAAGTTATGTTTCTTTACTGATCAGTGAGGAAAAAATGTTCTTAAAGTGGCCACAGATTTGTTGTTTCTGGCTGTCCAGTTCAACACTTTGGGCCAGAGTTGCTCATCTCTTCAACTCCAGTTGACTTCACTTCACTTCATGTCAAATCAAGGGTGCAAATACTAGCTATACTTGAGGATTTTTCACCTTTTCTTTTGGCTTCCTCACTACATTGCCTGCTAGAAATGTATGAATAAAAACTGGAAAAGGACCTAAATAGTAACGTTAATTGTTAGTTTTTAATGTCCTTGTTTTTAATTTATAGGTGAACGATATGTGATGACTTTTTTGAATGTGCTAAATTTTGGAGACCAAGGTAAGCATGGTGTATTACCAAGTGGTAAAACAAATTTGTTATGTAAAAACTAATGCTTTCACATAAACTTTGAAATTAAGATACCATGTTGAAAAGTTACTTTGAAATTTTAGAGATTATCTGAAAGCCGTCTTGACTTAATCATAAAATAATGAGGAATTGCACTATATCTATATCTATCGAGAGAGAGAACGCAATCGATCAATCTTGACCAAAGACTGTAATTTTCCCCACAGTATTTGAAAAGTCTAGAACATTACATATTTTATAATGTATCTTGATTAGCATTTTTAAAGCTGTCTTTGCCTTCTTTTGGGGCTTTTGCTGCCTTCAGATCTCTTTTTGAATGTGAACAAAAAAGAGCCTTGCATTTGCAGATGGCTGTTCCCCTTTCCTTAAGTTTATTAAAGTCCTCATATCATACCTGTTAAGCGAAACAACATTTGTTCTACAGTATCAGCTGATCTTAGCAAGTTTTTCCTACAGTGATCCTCTGCTAATGTCAATGTAATATGAGGGGCAGTTACACATAAATTAAATCTTGTTTAAACTTTTCTGTCTATCCAAAATTGAGATTTGTTGTTCCAGTGGCATACTGCTGTCAATATGTTTAGGTCCAAAATCCCTTTGGAGAGGAATATTACTTCTTTAAAAAGTGTTCTTCTATATATTGTGAGACAAGGAGCTTTTTTTAAATGACCATTCACCAGAAATGTCATCTCAAGAAAAGTTTACATGCACATAACTTTTAATGATCTAGATCTAGGAAGCTGACAGTATTTTATAAAAGTTAATATACTGTTTCTTTATTTTGTTTAAGGTGTGTATGACATAGTGAATAACCTTGGTTCTCTGGTACCTAGACTTATCTTTTTGCCAGTAGAGGAGAGTTTTTACATTTTCTTTGCTAAGGTGCTGGAAAGAGGGACAGCTGTAAAGCTACAGAAACAAGTAGGTTGAGTGTAATTCTAAATTTGTAAATATATGCTATAGAACTATGTTTTAAGATGAATAAAGAACTAATAATAAAAAATCTACCAATTTCTACAGTGGTAAGTTTTCCTTCAATATTTATTATGGATATGGAACAGCTTCCATATAAAGAAAGATGGAAAAAGACCCGGACACTTCAGTTTAGAAAAGAAATGATTAAGGAAGAGTATAAAATCATGAATGAGATGGAGAAAAGGAAGACTAAGTGTTGTTTACCTCTACACTTAACACAAGAACAAGGGGGTCAGCTGATGAAATTAATAGGCAGCAGGTTTAAAACGTAAGTCTTTCTGCACACAATGCTCTATCAAGCTGTGAAACTCATTGCCAAGGGATGTTGTGAAGTGCAAGAGTATACATGGGTTTAAAAAGGAATTAGATAAGACTATGGGGGTAGGTCCATCAATGGATAGAAATGAAGCCCCAGAAGCTGGAACTGGATGCCTGGATGAATCACTCAATAATTGTCCTTCTCTCTTCATTCCTTTAGAAGCATCTGACATTGGCCATTATGAGAAGACAGGATACTGGGATAGATGGATCATTAGTTTGGCCCAATATGATCACTCTTTTCTCTTCAGTAAAAAATGTATAAGGGGAACAAAACTCCATAGCATGGAATTTCCCAGAATGTTAGCTTCAGTGTTAATAGACAGCAAAATAATTTTACGTAAACCTCACCCAATGCATTTTCACATAGCATAGGTTCTCTTAATATAGGTTAATTCTCACACACATGAAAATATTCTATACCACCTGAAATGAATGCTCCTACTTACTTTGTGCAATGCTTGGAAAATATATGGAACAGAGCAGATACTCTAGTTGTACTGACATTTACTCCATTAAAACATGAACTTTTTTTTAATTTTGAAAGGAGAAGAATCAGGTGGGAATTTAACTATTTGAGTTTATGAAATGCATAGTAAAAATTGCATTGTACTCCCTTTTCATGGAGGTAAATAACCATAGAACAAGAAGATTACTCCAGGAAGTGAATTACAGATACAGTCCTATGTAAGGAATACAGGTTGGACCTCCCTGGTCTGGCACCCTTGGGATTTTGCCAGACCAGGAGAGGTCATTTCTGAATCCCACCCACTGACCGCTTTGTCTTGGCCAGCTGGATTCTTGGCCACCTTCCCACCTTCTGGCCCCATTGCCCTGCCAACCCGTTGAACAACCATTGCTGCCGCAGCTCTGGGACCTGCCAGGCAGCTGCGTGCCACATCTCCGGGACCTGCTGGACAGCTGCCACCGAGCACTGGGGCTCCGGGACCACAGGGCAGCCGTACACTGGGGCTCCGGGACTGCTGGGCAGCTGCACAGTGCGGCTCTCTGTCCCATCCAGCCATCACCTCTGCACCTCCCAACCCTCGCTGCCCTGCCGGCCTCACAGGGGCCTTTGCTGCTAGCCCTCCACCTGAGCTCTCTGCTCCTGCAGCATCTGTGCCGGACCATGGATGTTGCTAGACCAGAGAATCGCAGTTGAGAGTTTCAACCTGCACTTAATAAATATAAAGTTTAGTTCCTGGAATTTACAAATAATCTATTTGGGTATTTTATTTTCAACAATACTTGTTACACGATACAACAGGGTTAGTGAAATCTCTTGCTACAAGGCTTTGGTTGATTGGTGAAGAGTAACATAGATACTTTCTCATGTTCTGCATTGCATAATAGGCCAGCGTTATAAATTTTCACATTTCAGTCACGTATATAGGATAGGCCACTGTTCAGATGGAAAACTAGCATTAACAGACTGTTCTGGATTGGAAAATCCTGTGTTGCCGCACAGCAGTAAAAATCATGCCTTTGATTTTGCCACTCAGTTACTGTGGCCTTAGGAAAATATTTTACCCTTCCGTTTACCACTATATCCACTTACTTTAACAGTGGGTTGTCAGGCTTGATGTAGTATACAGAGCTGTGAACACAGAAAACACTAGGTAAATTACAAGTGTGTTCAGATTGAAAGTTAATATATTTGTACATACAAAATGTATAAGGATAACTCAAAACTTAAGGAAAACTTTACCAGTTCTCCAAAAAATAATAGTATTTATCTATTGCTTTGAAGTAATTCTTTGTGAAAATGTCCATTAAAATAAACTGCAGAATTCTAAAGCTTCTTATTCATGTAGATCATAAAATTCTTTTCCCAGGATGACATTGCAATGGCTGCAGCAGTGTTAGAATCACTTTTAAAACTCGTGCTTCTGGTTGGCCTAAGCATTACAGTTTTTGGCTACGCATATTCTCAACTGGCTCTGGATATTTATGGAAGCTCAATGTTGAGTTCCGGATCAGGTAACTAATCACTTTTTGCTAGTTTTAGAAATCTTTCTGAACAAATCCTATGTCAGTCAAGGGCAAATTATGTGATAAGTGGAAAAGCACCTTTGTTTAACTTGATCGTGAGAAACAGAAGTCTTTAAAATCCTGCAGCATTTCTGCATTGCAGTCTGCAGTATCACGCTCTGACCTCATTTGGATAATCTGCTTCATCCGTTTGTTCAGTAGTAAACACCTAACTTCAAAACGTAATGGCTCTAGGGAACTGATATCAAACCAGGTAGCTTCTGGGAACTTCCATGGAAGATGGACCATTGTGTAGAAGCACTGTGGAACTTGACATATTTGAAGTTAACATTTTGTAGCATTCAATTTTATTCTTTTTGCATAGTAATACTTTGGTAGGGGGCATTATGTAGTGATTAAATGGTATGTTTCTAATAATATTTTTATGTGCATGGTGTTACAGGTATATTTTATATAAAATTTTATGTGTGTCCAGCTCATCAGTGCACCTGTAGATTTCCATTATTCTGTTGTTGGGAGGTTTTGGTTTCCTTCATTTCATATCACATTTGATGCATATCTAGCTCCCATGGAGACCTGTGCGATAGTTTGTCTACTTGAGTCCAAACTTTGGTTTTTAGTATTCAGCCTCTTCATATAAGTGGTTATCTTCAGTTTTAATTTGCCAGAGAGTTTAATTAGTGATCACATATTTTTTTTCCTATTGTTGAAAGGCAGTTTAAAAGATAATATGCATTTAGTTATAAAGCAATATTACCAACCCCCAGAGATAAATAATCATGAGTCAGTCCTTCCCAATCCCTACAAAAAGATGCTGAGGGTTCTTTTTGTCTTCCAGCTCCTAAGTCTTTAGGGTCATGTTTCAAGCTATTTTTTGCAACCATGAGTGTACAAACTTACTTATTTTTGAAAGTGGAAAACTGAGATGCTTGCTTAATTACATGATTGCGGGAGCCAAGGACTGAAGAAAATATTATGAAAGTACAGTAAACTTCCGATAACCTGGCACCTTTAGGACCCAGGGGGTGCCGGATTATCAGATATGCCGGACTATCAGAAGGGGGGGCTATGAGAGGTCTGGAGTGGGGTGGGAGGGGATGCCACCCCAGCCCCCTCATAGCCCCCCCCTTACGATAGTCCGGCTCTGCCCCAGGTGTCCCTGATTCAGCCGCTGCTTGTCAGTTTCAGCAACAGCTGAATCGGGGATGCCTGCAGTAGAGCATCTGGGGTGCTGCCGGGTTGGTCCCGCAGCGCCGAGGGGTGGCGCTATGAGACCAACCCGGCAGCACCCCAGCTGATCTTGGCGATGCCTGGGGCAGAGCAGCTGGAGTGCTGCCGGGTTGGTCCCGCAGCGCCGAGGGGTGGCGCTATGAGACCAACCCGGCAGCACCCCAGCTGATCTTGGCGATGCCTGGGGCAGAGCAGCTGGAGTGCTGCCGGGTTGGTCCCGCAGCGCCGAGGGGTGGCGCTATGAGACCAACCCGGCAGCACCCCAGCTGATCTTGGCGATGCCTGGGGCAGAGCAGCTGGAGTGCTGCCGGGTTGGTCCCGCAGCGCCGAGGGGTGGCGCTATGAGACCAACCCGGCAGCACCCCAGCTGATCTTGGCGATGCCTGGGGCAGAGCAGCTGGAGTGCTGCCGGGTTGGTCCCGCAGCGCCGAGGGGTGGCGCTATGAGACCAACCCGGCAGCACCCCAGCTGATCTTGGCGATGCCTGGGGCAGAGCAGCTGGAGTGCTGCCGGGTTGGTCCCGCAGCGCCGAGGGGTGGCGCTATGAGACCAACCCGGCAGCACCCCAGCTGCTCTGCTCCCGGCTTCCCCGATTCAGCTGCTGGTCAGTTTCAGCAGCAGCTGAATGGGGGAAGCCTGTCCGGCTGCCCCAGCACTTCCGGGTTCCTGATGGTGCCGGACCATCAGGAGTCCCGGAGCATTGGATGCCGGACTAATGGAGTTTTACTGTATTACGATACTTTCCAGTTCTGGCAAAGAAACCAAAGAGGACAGTATGGGATCATTCACCCCTTTCTGAAAACAGCAAAAAATGAGCATAGATGTCACTCTGTCCCCCTCGGGCTCACGGGGCCCGGCTCTGTGTCTCTTTTCTAGGCTATGAGCTGGACCCTGAGTCACATTCAGGTGCCCTCCACGTCGGAGACCCTGTTGGCCAAGAAAGTGATACGGACTCTGCCGGTACCTGCCACTGAGGCTTGGTTCAGCTGGCTCCCCACTTCAATGGCACCGGACTCTGTCGAGGGAAGAGTCCAGGCACCTCTTTGAGGCATGCCGCTGCTGGGAGTCAACCTGGGGCAAGCCAACTCCACTAACTAGACTACATTTGTTGGGCTGGGAACCACATCTCAGAGGCTCACTGCATGGCTCTCCAGCATAAGAACCAGCTCTTTGGAGACACATGCCCGCGCCAAGAACAGGGACAGCGACACCAAAGATGGATGAATCCTTGGTACTGTCGTTGCACCAGCCTGTGCGAATGGTGTGGCCCCTCACGTGGGGGCCCCTCCCCATAGCAGTCGACTTGTTATAGGTACCAACCACACTCTGCCTTACAGTCCAGATTGCAGTTGTGGCACCACTCACGAAGCGCAAGACGTTGATCTCTGGCCACCGGCCACCGCAGATCCACTGGACACAACTTCTCCAGGAGAAGTTGATCCCTGAGGGAATCTAGGTCCTTGATGCTGGACTAGTCTCAAGCCTGGTACCAATCCCAACATGTCTTCATGGGCTCCTAGCCACCGAGTGGTGGCTGCTTAAGCACTAACCCTGCTTCTGTCCAAGGCTCCCAGACAGTACCAGACCGACCCTTCCCACTAGGAACACCCTTGACCTTCAGGACACACACTTCCTAGAATAGCAGCAATTAGCCCACTTTATCAAGGGAATGTTTTCTGTCCCCTCGATTGTATCACTTGCTATGCTATTTCCCCCTGTCAAATGTAAGGAGTTAGTAAAGGGGAAATGAAAAAAAGGTGTTACTCTCTGTGGGCCCAATCTGTCAAACATTAACTGTATTTATGGGCCAAGCTTGTTCAATTCAGGAGGACTATTCGCTCCTTTAGTCATTCTCAAGTATAGTCACAAAATTGGATCCTAAACATAACACACTGGCGCTTGTATCCACTCTGATTTTACTTGAGTATACATTAGTTGTTTTAAATTATTAAATTTTCTTACTTTCTTGAGTGCTTGTAGTCTGATTCTGATTGCCTCCATGTGCATCTTCATAGAGTTGAATATTTCCTCTTCCATGTGCTAAGGACTTGATACAGAGGGAGAGTGCATAGTGTAATAATCTTCCTGATTAATTAAGTCCTGGGAGATGAGTTCATTTGTCAACATTCATTTTTTTGCTACCAGAGCAAATTGAAGTGTTAGCTGCCATTTTGTAATTTTCTCATCTTTAATGTCTTTTAAAATACTCCCATGTGAATTTTTAAACTTCCAAAGCTAGGTGTAGAATTTTGAACTCATTTATAAATTATCTGTGCCATAAAATATGCATATAACTTGTAGTTTAGTACTGTTTTACTGTCTGTTTCTTATGACAATATGTTCTGGGTTGACTGTATATTCTCTCTTGCTTTCTGTTCTTGAGGATTGGGCTCAGACCTTACAAAAGACAATGCTGGATGTAACAAGCTTTCATCCTTATTAAATAAATCTCTTCTATTAAAATATACTTTTGGCCATGGGGAAAGAAAAGGTCCGAGTTACAAGTGGTGTCCTTGGCTTTTTGTTCAGTCTGCTTATTGTCTCATAATAGTATTGATAGGAATGTGCCTGTGTGATTTAGACTGCAGATTGAATTTTAAAGTATCTGTAATGGTTTGTAGAATTGGTCTATGAGAAGTATGTACAGAGGCGTTATAGGCATGTTGGTTCATTTATTGTCTTATTGCTCTTTAGGTCCAGGTCTCCTGCGCTGCTATTCTTTATATGTCCTACTTCTTGCTGTAAATGGAGTAACAGAATGTTTTACATTTGCCTCTATGTGCAAAGAAGAGGTAGACAGGTAAGCAAAAAGATGTATGGATCTGTAAGCAACCCCTAAAGTGTTAACAAATTTATTGCAGGTGTGATTCTGTCAGTCTACAGTGCATCTGTACCTAGAGGGAGGGATCAAGGGTCGTGGGGGAAGAAAAACACTGGAAATTGATTCCTTTTTACATACTCTTGTTTTACCACTTACGCTTCAGTTTTGAGGTTTATATCTTCCGTGCCAATTCTAAAGCAGTAATTCATTCTCAACTAATATAAATATGGTCAAAATGTTCAGACTCTGGTTCCTAAGATTACATATCTAAATCCATATAGAGCTCTTTCAGTAAGTGACTTGATTTACACTTTGCAGCCAGAAATCCTCCCTTTGAGGTGAATGCTTAAAAACAGGCTAAATATAGATTTGGTGGATAATCCTGGCACATAGAAGTTTTAACATTATGTACACAGAATACACATCTGGTCAAAATATGAAAAAAATGCTAAACCTTAGTTTCTGTACTTGTGTCCATTGAGTAGTTTTAAAAGTAATTATCAATATCAATATTTTTATTATAAAGTATATTGCTTTAATAGTACAGTGAAAGCTTTGCTATCCAGCACCCATGGGAAATGGGGATTGCCAGTTAAATGAATGTGACTGATAACAAAGCATATTGCTCCATCCCTGCCCCCTACCCGATCCGACTCCTTGCAGCTCAAGGCAGGCTAAAGGGGAAGGAGGTGCTTACTGATGATGTAAGCTGGCAGTACTGGCTGCCAGAAGCCCTGCAACAGCCGGCTGGGCAGCCAGGAGTCAAGTGTGTGCACCTGAAGATGCGTACGCCTGAAGAAACGTCGGTATTGTGACTGAAGGCAATGCCAGTTTACAAAAATTTCTGGTTAACTGAGTGCCGGATACATCGCTTTCACTGTATGTCTTATGTAAGAGAGTAGTCGACTAGTCCCCCTTCCCTTCCCCACTGCCTCTATGAGAGGCAGCAAGGGTGGGGGGAACAGAAGCTGGTTCTGGAGACGCCAGCTTAAAAGCTGATTCTGCCTAGCACCTCCTCTGTGGTGCTGCCCATCCCCATTGCATCTATCTGAGGCAGCGGGACAGGGGGATGAGGGAGTCTGCTGCTAAGCAGCCTCTGCCTACAGTGGGCTGAGGCTCGCCATGGGCAGAACAGCAGCCCCTGTTCGCAGCAGCCTGAACTGTCCATGGCCAGGGGCTGCTGCTGGAACAGGAGCTGTTGCCGGAGTAGCCCCTATTTGTGGCAGATCAGCATAAGTCAGGACGGAGCAGTTCCTGCTCCCGCTGATCTGGGATGCTGAGCCTCTGCATTTTAAATATAGTAAGAGCCCGGCGATTCTTACTACATTTAAAATGCAGAGCCACAGCGCGGGTGCCTCCCAGAACTGGCACAAGCTGGAACTGCTCAGTCCCAGGCGATTCTTACTACATTTAAAATGCAGAGCCACAGCGCGGGTGCCTCCCAGAACTGGCACAAGCTGGAACTGCTCAGTCCCAGCTGGAGCTGGCCCCACTGCGACTCTGCATAGCGGTCCTTATCAACTAGTTGCGTAGTCGATACAAATTGTATCGACCACATGATTATTTAGATAACTGCAATTTAACATCCTTAATTTCATGTATTTTTCTGAATAAATGTTTACAATACACCACAAAATAGCTGTCTTATTAAATAATATATATAAAGCAGATTAAACAAGATTTTTCAAAAAAAATTTGATGGACAAACTTAGTCTCTTTTTTTTCTCTGATCAGCTCTACTTCTGTGGCATATTGTTGAGTTTAAGAATGAAATGATTAGCAATATAATAGGAGTGTCAAAATAATGGAAGCAGTAGTATAAGAATATTCATCAGACTATTTTTGGATTGGCAAGCATCCAGTATTGAGGAAACAGATTTTTATAACATATGACTTGGCACAGAAAATTTTCACATTATGTTTTAGACATGTGTACTGTTTAGACCAAAGTCTTTTTTGGATTATATTACTTGACTTTACAGGTCCGAATTCTGAGACACTGGTCTATTTCAAGTATGTCATTTTAATTAATGTAATGTTCCAATTGTGATTTCTTTTTTATTTCAGTTCATCAAAATAATTCCAAAATTTGTATTTTTAAAATGAGTTGATATTAGATTTAAAAGCTAACTTTTAACATGTTAGATTAATTGCCTGCCTTAGTGGGACTGTATACCTATCCTGTCTTTTTAGCAATCTAAGTATCTTGCAGAGATGGCATGTTTCAAACTGAATTTCACTCCAGAGCATCAAGAGCAGAGCAATGAAAATATGGCAGCATATACTGCATTTTAACCACAGCCTTATAGCAGAATAATTACTGTTATGGTATAATAATTTTCTCTTGATTTGAAAAAGTGTTGTATTAACTTTGCCTCGCTTTAAATTTTCAGTTTTTGTCACATGTATAATGTGCCTTTAAGGCTGCAGATTTTTGATCTATGCTTAATTGGGAAATGCAACAGATGCAGTGTTCGTGTAATGGAAGAGACAGCTGGACTTGTCATTATCAACTGTACCAATGGTGCCTTGAAGTGGTTCACTATACAGGCAGTCCCCGGGTTACGTACAAGATAGGGACTGTAGGTTTGTTCTTAAGTTGAATCTGTATGTAAGTCAGAACTGGCGTCCAGATTCAGCCGCTGCTGAAACTGATCAGTTTCAACAGTGG